AAGGTGAACCTGCCTTCCTAGGGGTGGTTCTATCACCAGGTGATTGACCAGTGAGACTGGAAAGGTGGGTCCTCCAACAGATAGACTGGGGATTTATAGTACTGACCAGCTAACTTTATAGGGCTTTTGGCTACTCTAACATTACCCCCTCTGAAGAGGTAACTCTAAAATTCTTTAAGGATTAGATACAAGCTCCCAAATACTTTTGACATTTTTGGCCTTTGGAACAGAGTATGTTGCTAAGAGGCCCAAAGACATTTTGACTTTTAGCCAAGAAACTGCTGACTTTTCTTTGGGGTCTTTTTACCTTAACTCTAGCGAATTCCTCCCTCCTCTTCTTATCACACCATCCTCAAGAGGTTACCCAAATTGCCAATAGGGATGCAGACTGCTCTGGCTTCTTCCATGCTGAGCAGGGACGAAGGGTGAGGCAACTGGAGTACTCCTTCAGTGGGTCTATCTAAAAGACTCCCAAATTGTATAACTCTTATCTCCAGGAGGAAAAGAGTCTTTGAATCGTGAATAGGAGATGTGAAGAAGTAAAGGCAAGAGTAATTAACATTACAAGTTCTAGACAGGGAACTAGAAAAAAGTCAGAACAGGGCAATTTTCAAATGTTCATATGAGAGTCCATTGGAATTTCTTGACAAGGGCTTCCAAAATCATCCCTCTATTGGGTTCCTCCTTATTTTTCTTTTGTCTTCCAAGGTTGGACTCTAGTGTGATGGATTCAGGATTTGCTTTTAGGTATTTTGACAGCTGTGGTTAGAATCAGTGTCAGTTCCCTCTCAAAGGCTTCTAGATAGGAGGAGAAAACAAATTTATTTTAGAACAATAGCTGGTTGTCTCCCTTAGCTACAGGTGGGCACTACAGTATTGCAGACCAAGATTTGAAGTCTTACATCTGAGCAGCATTTTCTGGTTAGGAACAAAATCATCAATGAGAAATAACTGTCTAAGTAACTTTTTATATAGACTTACTCCTAATGTCTGGGAAGTGCAATCCCTTGAACTCTTTAAAGAAATACACTGATGACTTTACTCTTTGGTTATACTTGCCTTTTGATGTTTAAGACCATACAGTTGGCCCAAATAAATCCATTTATTTTTATACTTAAGGTCCTTTGAGGGTCTGTTCCTCAGGGGTCACATGGGCTTGGGAGGAGCTCCTGGCTCCTTTTACCAGTTCCATTTATGTGAAGATAAGGTCAAAGGTCCTGCTTGACCATGTCTGGCTTTACTTGGAAGCATGAATGAGATGTTTCCTCTGAATTGACCCTCCTCTTTGTAGACTGGACACTGGTTCAAGTCCATCTGGTGGGGTCTCCATGGCCTCCCAGAACAAGAGGACAGGTGGCTCACCACAGTTACAGGACATTTTGAGAGATGTTCCATAGTCCCCTGGAACTTAGTCAACCTTGGAGGGCAAGGGGTAAAAACTGTCCATTAAGTCCCTCTGATCACA